TATTTCAGGCCCAGGAGAAAGTAATTTCCAAGGCCTTGGAACAGGAAAGTTCTCATTATGTTGTAGGAACTGTCAGATGGCCAGCATATAACATGTGGGGCACATCATGAGCCTGGAGAGGTAGGACAGAAAGGGCTTAAAGTGAATTTGGATAAGTACAGAGGGGGCACTTCAAGTAAGGCCTCGTCGGTCACAGTTATGACTTTTCATTGTGTTCCAAGTAAAATGGGGCCAAAAAACTTAACATTCTGGTGATACCTTTATTACCTATTATTTATTAATTTTATGTGACTTTTTTGGCATGCAAAATGACTTTAAAGTACTCTCTTATAGGTTCATTCATGTCCACGGTTTCCATATTCTTTTTCCCATGTGATCTTAAAATCCTCAACAATGAATGCCTCTACCACAAGGAGAATTAGGTCAAATCTCCACATTTGGATAAGAATATTGTATTATTCTTATCTCCACTTGTCATTGTTCATTTTATCTATGTTTGCTGTGTTGATTAGTGTGTGTGTGTTTTGGCAATTGATGATTGGTCTCTGACATTCTGATTGGAGAAATAAGTGAATTTGGAGAATGGACCACTTGGGAGGCCAGACTGAGTGAGGGACCTGGGAAGGGCGTGTAGTGTGACAGAGGGCACCTGGGGCTGTGGAGTTAAGGACACAGGGAAATCAATGCTGTAACTACTTTAATAGCAGAAGATTGTCCTTGCCACCCTGTACTTCTCCTTTTCCTTTCTTGTTTTCCTCTTTCATTAGATGGAAAATACTGTGTCCCTACAATGAGAAAGATGCCTTGAGATGCAAGAGTCCCTTCCTTTTGTGCTCCATTATCCTACCTTAGAGAGCCTGAAGTGGTTTGCTAAGTGCTGGCTTCTCTGTCTGGAGAAAAGAGCTCCTGACAGAAGAGGGAACCAATCCCTGCTGCTGCTTTCTGGACTTAGATCATTTGCCTGGTTTCTCCGGCCAGGACTCATAGCACACTGACAAATGGGAATATGTGCAAAGGGTCTGGAAGCCATCCCAGTTTGTCAACGTTCCCCTTGAAACCCATGGAGTATAATTCTGCAGCGACATTAAAGAATTATTTTTATATGAATCATAAAAACCTTTTTCAATTTTCTATATGATAACATATATCTGTTTCTTGCTATCCATCTTTCTATTCTACCTTCCTATCTCTGGGCAATTGGCCTTTAAGAGGTTAAAACTTTGCACAAGATCATTCTAGAACCCTAGTCCCACATGGAGGGCTTACCAACATGGAGTTATACGCTACAGAATTTAGCTATGGTCTCAGTCGTCTGAATTTTAATATCTTCCCTATTGTATGCTTTAAGGGATACTGCCCCAAACTAGCTTTCCCCGTTCCCCTCCTACTGATACTTAGGACTGCTGTTTGATCCTCAGCCTGCCCATTCGGGATTTTGAATTCTAATTCACCGTATAAGGCTAGTCCTTAGTGCTTCTGAGATTGTGGCTTTGATACCTCAAGACTTCCACCATAGGAAGTTTTCCTGGTGCTATTTTACCATGGAATAACAATGAAGAGAGGCATAAGGAGTGTTGATTAGCGATG